TGTCCCCAGGGATACGAAATTGCAGAGCTTGCGTTCTCTATGTTGCTGCTTACAAGGAACCTTTTCAACCGAGTGTTCAAAGGCATATTTTAAATCAACTATGCTTAATGTTACGTAGCCTTAAAATTTAATGGCTGTTATTGAATAGACACAGTCCCGTTGTTTTTTTTCTCGATTATGATGGCCTTAACCAGATTGGGAATTTTGGATATAGGATGCTCCTCTTCTTTGCAATTGCTCATCCTGTTTTAATACTGGTGTTTCGTAGGGTTCGTACTGCTCAATCATAAGTTTATGTTTGGTGTTTTGTGAATATGTTTGTCTTTCTTGTGAGTTATGTTTTGATTGTCCATAAGGTATCTTCTGTCGCGTTTTGATATCATATATAATGACAATTAGCGCTAGTATACATGTATCTAGGTCCAGAGTATTTTTATTGGGAGCCAAATGAAACTTTTCCATAGAGTCATCACCTATTGGTCAATCTATTTAAACTTTTGTAAGTTCTATTGTCCCATTGAATAAATACAATAGCTATCGTTCTCTTTGTAGTTAATCACTGGGACCTTTTAATTTCTTCTAAGAGAAATCCATCGCTCATTGATTAATTTATTAGAGTAAAAAATCATCTTCTACAGCCCTTGGATGGTGTAAACTTCCCCAAAAACATGTATGGTGTAATGGTGTGTGGCATATGGTGCAATGGTAGAAGATTATGGTGCTATGGTGTATGGTGTAAGGGGAATGGTGTAATGGTGTAACGTGCGATCGGGAATGGTGTGAATGAATGGTGTACGACATTTAAAACTTAGCAAAATATTGATAAGAACTGATTTTTAATTTTATACATTAATTTACAATATTGTGATCAAAATTCTTTTTTTAAAATAAATAAATAATTTTGTAGTCGCACACTTTCTTTGAAATTAAATTGCATTATGGTGTAATGTGTAAGGTGTATGGTGCAAAGGTGCAAAGGTGTAACGTGTATGGTGTAATGGCACAGGGTGTATGGTGTAAAGGTGTATGATGAATGGTGTATTTGTGTATGGTGTTAGTGGGAAGTTTACACCATCCAAGGACTGTAGATAGATGAAAACACAATCACAAAACTGCATGTGATGCTGTATTTATTCAATATCAAAAATATACACCATTTTCAATCTGTTCTATATAAACATTGATTTAATCATGAAAAGTTGATTTCTGACTTTATTTTTAGCATTGTTCCTATTGAAATTTGTATTTTTTTTTATTTAGTTATAGAACACATTCAAGAAGGCCTTAATTTAAACATCGTTATTTCCCAGTTTGAATTTGTCAAACACACAAATAAACAAATTTCAATAGGAACAATATGTTGAAAATTTTGTCAGATAAAGGCAACAGTAGTATACCGCTGCAACACCATATGCAGTTCTTATTTGAAACATGTATTTTCATCTATTTAGAAAATAATTTGTTTACTCAGGTAAATTAATCTTAATTCAAAATTATACGTCAATTACATCAGACGTCAGAACAGAAAATAAAGCACCTTCACAATCATACTGTGAGACTTCAAATTTTAGGTATAATCCCTATAACCATGTAATAATATGGGATATCTAATTCGTTCAGGCCTGATGGATTATAAACTGTTAGGGAAAAAATATCGTTCTCAATCAAAACTAAATTGGAAAGAATGTGTTCAGGTCAACAAAGATACCCAATCATCGTTTTCTTACAAATAGTGTAAACGGAGGTTCCTTGATTCCTAGTGGAGAAAATGTATCAATATTATGGATCCTCGGATATCATAGTTCGGAAATAATTTAGAAATCAATAAATGGGTCTGTATACACCCTTTTAAAGAATTAAACTTCAAGTATTCTCAAAGCATTTTCTGGTCGTACAGGCCAATAAAACAGCAAACATTGTAATGGCGAAAATACTACACGAAGTTCTTATGAATAAAATTATAAGTCTTCTACATTCAGGGCCACTTGCCATGCACAGAGCAAAAGAGAGCCGGAAGATACCAAAGGAACATTCAAACTCATAAGTCGAAAAAAAACTGACAATGCCATGGCAAAAAAAAAGAAAGACTAAAACACAAACAACTGTACACAAAACACAACATAGAAAACTAAAGACTGAGCAACATGAACCCCACTAAAAACCAGTAATAAAGTAAACAGTCATGTCACTGCAACATCTCAACTGAAGGTCTCTTTTACAAATTGCTACTTAAACTAAAATAAATCGTCAAATGTAGCTTCAACTTAATTTCTAGTAAGTGTTCAAATAGGTTAAAGCAGTGTGGTCGTTGATACAAATAACGAACAAAAAATTAAAATGCGTTTATGCAAAGCACTTATCTTACCTCCATAACAAATATATGTTGTTGTCACCGCAGATAAAACCCAAAAACAACATCGTTTTTGTGTTTAAATCACAATATATCAACTGCTTGATAAAGGCAATAAATATTGACACTTCACTTAGAGACTCTTTATATACCTCCACGACTTTTACCACAGAGGAAATCCCGAATAGAGAAAGGTCTGTTATATATTCCTTCTAACCAAAGATGAAGACTGGATCATCATTCACTTTATTGAACACCTTAATTGCATAGGTGTCATTACATGTGTCCTTAAAAATCACGTTATTTTACTAAGTTTTCCCAGTGCTCTACGAACAACCTCTTTCTAAATCATTAACATCAATTTTACCACAATGAAAGACGGTCTTCAGAATTATTGTAAACTACCTACTCTAGGACCAGTGTGTATCTGATGTGGATTGTAGCAAATTGTAATTACCTGTTACATTCGAACAAACCCTCTTTCCTCTTGAAATAGCATACAAAAATTATCATTTTTTTACGCTTTACTTACGTATGTCTTATCCCGAAATAAAAAAAATAGAAATACTTGGTCTATCTACGTTTCGAAAACAGAATGGCCAACGTTGATACAAATATCTTGTATTAAGGAGTGACTAATCCTGCTAAAATAAGATAAAAAAAACCCAGTCAAATTCAAAAGAAAAATACTCTGATACTGACATTATCAAATTACTCGATTTCTTGATGGACAACATATTTGTTATTCCAATATTCATATGATGCAGACTTTATACAGGAGCTTCTTCAAAAGAATGAAATAAGCTAGCATTATCCTTTGCCTTCACGTTTCGCTATATAGATGATATCCTATATAACTAAAAAATGCCTGATTTTCATATGATTGAGATATAATCTTTCTATTATTGTTTAATTGAGGTCTGGAGCTGGCATGTCAGTAACTGCTAGTAGTCCTTTGTTAATCTATGTATCATTGTCATTTTGCTTAGTTTCTTTTGTTACCTATTCTGACATTAAACTAGGACTTCTTTAATCAGAGTTTTACTGTGCGTATTGCTGTGTGTTTGTTTATTCTACATTGGCTAGAGGTATAGAAGGAGGGTTGAGATCTCACAAAACATGTTTAACCCCGCCTCTGTTAGTCGTGTATTTTGTTTTTAGTTTTAGTTCATTTATATGTTTCGGAGTTAGTGTGAAGTCCATTTTCAATGAACTAGTACACATTTTTGTTTAGGGACCTGCTGAGGCCCGCCTACGAGTGTGGGATTTTCTCGCTGTGTTGAAGACCCATTGGTGGCCTTGGGCTGTTTTCTGCCATTTGGTCAAGTTGTTGTCTCTTTGACACATTCCCCATTTCCATTCTCAATTTTATGTGGTGACTTTGTTGAACTCATCCTTTCAATCCAACTTGAAATAAAGGATACAACCGATGCACCCATGTATGTCTCACATACGACACGACTTACATCTATAAATTTACAACGAGGGCCGGTTGAGCGACAAAATAGATGTTTTTATCTTCTCGGTTGGGAACTTTCCATGTAGCAATATTCCAGCAGTGCCTGCATATAAAGTATACATCCCTCGATGATACAAAAATTTCAAAGCTTGCATTTCTCATCATGATTTCATTGACAGACTGTTGCTGCTTGCAAGGAAGCTATTCAACCAGTAGAGTTGAAATCATCCTTTTGAAAGGTTACGGACGTCATCACGAGTTGATAAACCATTATGGAATATCTGTTGTTAAATGATGAAAACCCCAGAGTTAAGACAAAGTGTCTGACAAATACTGGAAGTGATAACAGATTTACTAAAATCTTTGCATTTGTCATCAATCTAGTCATGCGTATACAAATAAGAAGATTTGATTGCCAATGAAACAATGATCAAAGCAAAACCCATACCACATAATAATCTATAAAATGACCCAAAATTAGAAATTTTAAACAGTTGAAAAAACAATTAATACTCTGAGTTATGTACAAAGCAATAAACGTGAAAAACAAATATGATAAACAGCAAGAAACGAAAACCACTGAATAACAGGCTCCTGACTTGAACAAGCACATACAGAAGGTGACGGGTAAAACATGTTTACTGGCAACAAACATTCCCCCTTGAATTGGACTGTTGTGTAACAGTTCAACATAAAAACAAACTATACAAATTAGTTAAAAAGAGCTGAAGTCATTAGATTGATACTAAGCACCAAATAAATAGATAACAAAACACAGGAGACACAAAGTATAGATCGTAGTTGAAAGTTAGTTAAAAGTCAAAAATAACTAAAAAAAAAAACACTTATCTAAGACTAGTCCATCAGTATGAATTTGAAAGACAAGGTTTAAGATATACAGTACACTTAATTGTTTGGCTTATTTGAAGTATACCATACTCTTGTGTATGAGTTGCAAACACAGGAAGCCATCTTTCAGGGGTTCGATTTCCCAGGTAAATTTATGCGAAAGGTTATCTTTCTTCCAATTTCTTGCTTCATTTTGACAAATTGATTTTTTTCTAATTTCGGTGTAAGGCTATTTTATTGATTTAGATATCGTGTGAGTAAAACACATAATTTCAATGCAAAAAAATTATATTTGGTAACTATGTACAAATGATATCACTGTCTTTTATTACGATGCATCCTTCAGTAGGCTGAAAAAGAATAAAAAAAAGATGTTTGATATTATTATTATTATTACTATTATTATTATTATCATTATTATTATTATTATTTTAAGGTAATTAAAACAATATAATGTCTCAATTTTCCTTGTGATAATAGGAAACATTCAATTTTTAAGTATCGAGAAATGCTAAATACTTAAAAATGGTGCAACAATTAAGTATACCTTTTCAAATTAGTGACCTGGTTAATATGGCTATTTAACGTGGTTTTATGTCGAGAATGGCTTTATTTAAGATTAATGATTAGGTATTGTGTCCTGTAGTGAATACAAATATTCTTTGCCTTCCGATTGAAAATTAACAATGTTTACATTTGATCACCTCTGAAATATTTAATTGATAATACACAAATATAGCCCTTTGATCATTACAAGCTTTCATCTACCCAAATGGAAGTATATTGACTGAGAACGAAGTACTAGTCGACAAAAAAAAACATTTGACTGACACGAAAAGTTGACAGGTTATTTTCCTAACATCATATTTTTCTAAATTTGTGACTTATTTTCAATAATGATCTGGTTTTATTTTTGTTTGTGCTAATTTTTTAAGAACGTTATATTGAAATCTCTATTTTGATTAGCTGAATTTCCTAATTACCATCCAACCAAATATAACTTTTTAACGATATCTTTTAACAAACATAAAATTAATAAATTTATTTTTGGTATAACCAAGTAAATAAATGCTTTCATAATAGAAATAGATGACACAAATCAGAAATGTCATGCTCAGGAAAGATGTTTTCAAATACTTCCAGTCGACGAAGGTAAAATTTCTTCTCATAATTAAAGTTATTTCCGGTCACGAGTTGAATAAGACCGAATAAAGAAAGAGATGGTAAAGTTAATTATTCGATATTTGATTGCAGTATTATGCAATAATGTTCGCAAATGCAGCCGCATTTTGTAGCTTACAAATGATCAAGCTTGTTCTTTTACGCTTAAAAAGGAAACACGTCTAGGCATACGCCACTTCAGAAACAGTGAAAAAAATATATTTATATATGTGCCAAGGCGGTAGTGAAATATGAACAAAAATAAATGCACGAGACATACACTGGCTATAAACCAATTAAAATCCAGGAAACTTATGAAAAACGTAGTTTAAAAAAATTGGCGGCAGTCGATCAAAATTGCAGGGTTTTATAATAGGTTCGATATATTTCCCGATACCCTCTGTATTTCAATGCGTAACGAATGTATTATACTGATGACTTTTGTTTTGTACTAATGACTATTTTCAGATTTATCCTCACTCGCTTTCCAGCAAAATACAGCTGTTATTTGAGTAATTAACAACATAGGGATCTTGTTTTAAAAAATAATTTTACCCTTTTATTGCATAACATTGCTTCCCGACATAATTGCCCTTACAATATTTGTTTTCAATGTTAAATGGTCTTTTTCGAAAAAGACAACCTCATAAGTTTATATCGTATACTGCTTACAATATATTCGAAGCTTAATGAGGAAAACATCTATAATACAAGTTTGACAATACATCACTGTATAAACACGTTTATCAAAAATGTATTTACACCTAAGTAGACTTTAATCTCTCTGTTCACGGGTAAATAAAGAGCCTTTTAATCAAACAAAGCATACTTATTTAGGATTATAAAATGATTGTGATTCGAATTTTAAGGAACTCTTTCCAATCACTATAATAATATTTCACTGATTTGGTTTGTTATACGACAGTATGCTTATTGTGTGAGCTTTCTATTGTAGTTTTATGCGATACTTCCTTATATATAGCTTATATACTATCTTTAACAGACAAGCAAAAATATCCTGATTTTGCCTTAACGACTTTCTCTAACACATCCAATATGTATCTTACCTTTTCCACCATAACTTCCATGTCCATAGCCATTTCCTCTACCGTATCCACCCTCGTAGCTACCATAACTTCCATGTCCAGATCCTATTCCTTCAAGGTATCGTCCACCATAGCTACCATCACCACCGTATCCTCCATTGTGTCCTCCACCGTATCCCTTTCCACCCCCGTAGCTACTATAACCTCCATATCCATATCCATTTCCGCCATTATGTCCTCCACCGTAGCTCATATGACCTCCATGTCCATATCCGCTTCCTCCATTTTCTCCATTATAGCTACCATAACCTCCATTTTTATACCCGCTTCCAACGCCGTTACTACCATAACTGACACCACCATATCCATATCCACCATTATGGTTACCATAACCTCCATGTCCATACCCACTTCCTCCACCATTACTGACACCACCATATCCATATCCACCATTATGGTTACCATAACCTCCATATCCATACCCGCTTCCTCCACCATTACTGACACCACCATATCCATATCCACCATTATGGTTACCATAACCTCCATGTCCATACCCGCTTCCTCCCCAATTACTGACACCACCATATCCATATCCACCATTATGGTTACCATAACCTCCATGTCCATACCCGCTTTCTCCACCATAACTAACACCACCATATCCATATCCACCATGGTTGCCGCCTTCGATGGCTACACTATACCCGCTTCCTCCACCGTATCCTTTTCCACCACCGTAACTACCATAACCTCCATTACCATATCCACTTCCTCCATGGTTGCCGTATTCATTTCCACTACCATAGCTACCATAACCACCACTACCGTGGCTATCATAACCTCCACCAATATGTCCACCTCCTACAACCATAACTCCTCCCCCACCATAATTTCCATGTCCATAGGCAACACCAAAAATGGCAATAAGAACGCAAATGGATAACTTCATCTGCAAAAGTCAAATGAAAAATTACTGCGATGATATAGAAGATTGAAATGTTTTAAAAGCAAAAAAATGCTTTCATTTTCATGTATCCTTCTCTTTAAATTCCGATTCTTTAGAGCAAATGGTATATTTTCACGGATGTTTCTATCAATATAACTTTTTATCACTTCATGTATTCTTCCAAAAAAAAGATTAACTATAGCATAGACTAGTAAACGAACTTTGATATACAATTGTTATTTTGATCTGAACAAGTCTTTGAAGTCTGATCAACATATAATAAAATCTTTTTCAGTCTTTCAGTCAATTTTTAGATCTATTTACTGCGGTAAAAGTCTGATCAACATATAATAAAATCTTTTTCAGTCTTGCAGTCAATTTTTAGATCTTTTTACTGCAGTAAATTCAGTACTTTTCACATGACATTTCGCTTGCAGTCAATTAAGATCTGTTCAGTTATTTACCTATACACATCATACTGAATTGTATGAAAAGCGATTTGACTACAAGCAAATTGTGTGAACAGGACTGAATTTAACGCAGTGGATAAATCTGATAATTTATTATTCAGTCTTTTCGGATGGTGTTTATTAGTTAAAATGACCGTTTCAGATCAAAATTGGTAAACTACTGATAAAATCGACTTTGTCATACCTGCATTTTTATGCGCCTCTTATATCTTAACTCAGAGTTCAATGATTTTCAAATTCTTCACAGAACAATGCTTTTGCGCCCCTTCTTCTTTGTTTTTGATCGAACTGTTTTTTGGGGATTTTTTTAGTATTGCTTGTTTTGGGATTATGATGCAGGAATATGCTCTCTGAATGAATTTTAATTTTATAGTTCATATAACTATGTAATTTTAGAGCTACAATTTCAATTCCTTTAAGGCAAGTCTGATCTTAGACGGTAATGAAAGTTTTTGTGGGACCTTTCTGGTTCCTTTAAGTCAATATAAACTAAGGTGGGTATGTCTTTTTGACTTTTGCGATCGACAACGTTGTTCGTTTTTTGCTATTCAAAGGTTTGTTCTTTGTTGGAGGTTATTCCCAAATGCGCGTTGGGATCTAGGACAACATAACTTACGTGCCTTTTTTCTCTGTTAATATTTAAAAATGAGAATACGGATGTATTTACAAAGATTATAAAGTTGAACAAATGATATAAAAGCCTAAAAAATCTATTTCTTCTTCGTTATGTTTATAATATAAGGCAGAGAAAAAAACATCTTGAGGTCCGTGTGTGACCTGATGCAAATATTGCCACTTAACCCAAAACATAAGAAAAATTACTTGTTCTATGGCTATTGTTTTATCTTCATTATATACAGGTATTTTGTCGTTAACCAATTAATTATTTCAACAAAGAAAATTAACAATCTGATCTTTTATTAGACCCCAACATGTATTCCTGAAATTTTGAAAATAAATGAAAAAATTCCACTTTGAAAAGTACAGATTTCAATTTTTTTTTTAATTTTATTTTGGTTCATAACTTAAGATAGATCAATATTTTAACAAATTTTCATTTTACAACGTCAAGTTTAAGTTAATGCGTTTGCTATCCATTCCTTATATTTTGTCTTCCTTAATTAGTCAAACTAGTTACATGATCAAATTATGTTTTTTAGATTAAACAAGGGAATATTTCCAAGACTAAGTAGATAAACTAAATAATATATCAAACTTTGATCTTCTCGCAATAAAAAGATATATCTACATACAGTAGTTAACCTTTATTCATATTTAAGCACTTCTGTTTTAATTGGATATTTAATAGGCCACACTATCCATACTTTATGTATTAGTTTATCTTTTTTTAGTATGATGAGGTATTTCTGAACTATACTAGTCAACAAAAGAAACGATACAAGGCAATGTATTTTCCATATATAATGAAATTGGATACACTGTACCAAGGTAAATAATTGCCCAATTATTCTAATATTTACACAGTGTTATTTTCTTATCAAAACCATTGATTTAAGGCAAATTTGCGATTTGTTTTTTTTTTTGGCAATTTTTGTTATTTCAAAAATTGTATTTTCACCAAAAAATTTTTAAAAATCGATATTACATGTAGAACTTAAAACTTTAAACTTAAACATGGTCTGCTTAAAATTTTGAATGCCTTTGCAGATATTTGAATATTTAATTCTCATCTTCGAAATTAATTGCCGACTTTTGTCATCATTTTCCGCAAAATGAATTTGACCCCTGTGTTCAATAACACGGTATTTTTTCACTTTCCTATTTAGTCAGATTCTTTTAATCATATGCATTTGCTTTGTTTGTCATTGGATAATTTAACAGTTTTTCCTATTTATTATATTTTATGTTAAATTGGAGTTCAAACTTGTGTATCGTTACTTTTGATGACTAGTATATTACCACATATATCATGTATAAAGATGCATGAAAAAATCTGCTATTTTGATGAATTTTTATATTGTGCTAGAATGTTTAATACAAATGAATGAGAAGGAATTTCTATAGCAAACCCAAAAATCTCTTCTGAAGCTTTGTATAATTTGAACATTTTTATAAAAACGTGTAAAACTTGCAGTATCGTTTTAAAATTGTGTAAAACCATACAACAGTAGTGTCATGTGCTACAATTGCAAAAGGCAATTATCGATTAAGACGGAGGACAACTATGTATACAATTATAGAACAATCTATGGCCTTTACCAAAGATAAAACCTCATACCTTATTGATCAATATATAAGGCAACTTGAATGATAGGATGCGAAGTAATTCAAAAGAAAAAAACAAAGGGTCTGACTTTTTTCTACAAAACAAAACGAGAACAATCATGACGGACACCAACCAATGACCAATATGGAACTTCATTGACTGGGGAGATGTTATTTAGTTCTAAACTGTCCCCAAGACTTATGGCATGGCGAATGCACATATGTGTCAAGTTTAAACATGTTTTGAGCACTCAACATATCTCCTTCATCATTGGAACAGTGGTGTTAATAAAATAAGAACAAACTTTGAAAATCAGTTGACTCATCACATCGGTAAATGGTACAAACATTACTTACAAAAAGACAAAAGACACAAAGTATAGATCTAAGAACACTCACAGTTACTGAATGCTAGTTCATAGTCTAGTTCCAAATAACAAATCAATTATGTTTTAAAAAAAAGAAAAAGCGAACAAAAACAGTCTACAAATAAAGGCAACAGTAGTATACCGCTGTTCAATAGTCATAGCTCGATTAAGCAAAAACAAATCCGGGCAACAAACTAAAACTGAGGGAAACACATCAACTATAAGAGGAAAACAACAGAACAACAGAAACACTGAACTACAACAAAAGCATACGCCAACATAAATAGAAATGGACTGTCTGGAATTGGTGCAGGACATTTTAAGAAATAAATGTGGGTTGAACCTGGTTTTGTGGCTAGCCAAATCTCCTGCTAAATGGCAATGTTAAAAATACCGCTAAAATGACAATACAACGTGACAGGAATACAGTACAAAAAAACTCAAGAACACTCAGCACAGAGAAATACACAAATAAATAATATAATAGTAAATTACAATATATAAACCGCAGAATAATAACGGACATCTAGAAACATAGAACATTGAAAAATAAAGACTGGTAACACGAAACACACAAAATATCGGAAATGATTTTTAGTTATCTAGTAAACTATGACAAATAACATGAATATAATAGTACCGACAAAGACACTATTCAAAGGTCATATTGCAACGATAAATTGATAACCTTTAACAGACTAATAGTTTTATATTAATCGTATTTGAATTTCCGATCTCTAGAAACAAAGTCACTCGAAAAAATATAATTTGATATTCAAACAGTGTTTTAAACTGATTAACATTTTGCAACGCATAATAAAAACAATCATTTGAATTCCTGAAACTGTTATGGACTTATTTACTCAACTTCAAATCTTACACAAAACATGTATGATACTTTAACCCTACGATTTACATACATAGAATTAAACGAAAAAAATATGTTAACCATGAAAAAGTTATAACATTACTCACCTTGTCTTTGGAGGAATGGTCTTACTGGTAACAAATATCAAACTTTTGACCGTTTTATACTTAATTTTAAACATACATTAAACTATTAATGTGATGTATGGAAGAGATAGAAGATAAAAAATGACGGATTGTGACTTTGTTTATTCTACAGTAGATGTTTAATTTGTATAGCTTTTAATGATTATATGATCGAAGAGTAAACAAGTTTAAATTAGTTTGCATCATTACAAAAAAAAATATGGTTAATATCAATGCTAACTAACCGATTTAAATGTGATAGCATTTGAACGATTGCGAATGAGATAAGTATCCACCAAAGACCTATGGACTAGGATGCAAAAAAAGTATCAACAAAAACACCTAACTGCAAGGTAAATTCAAAACGGATGAAAGTCCATAAAACTCAAATCGCTTAGAAAGCTATAGCAGACACCGGAATAGTAAAATGTGAGAAATTTCTTCGAAGAAAACCAACTTTCTTATTTATTCTAATAATGTAATAAAAACAATAATGATAGATTAACATGAACCAATGGGTCAAAGCCTTGTTACTATCACATATAAAATGTGACAGGGTTAGTATATAGTTATCAAAGGTACCAGGCTTATAATTTAATTCGCCAGACACGTGTTTCGTCTACATAAGACTCATCAGTGACGCTCAGAACAAACTAGTTATAAAGCCAAACAAGTACAAAGTTGAAGAGCATTGAGGACCCAAAATTTCAAAAAGTTGTGCAAAATACGACTAAGGTAATCTATGCCTGGGATAAGAAAATCCTTAGTATTTCGAAAAATTCATACTTTTTTAAACATGTTTTCGAGTGCTTTATTGTAAAGGATATCGAATCAGTATTTTGTTCTTTTCTCAGAAGTTTACACTTTTTTTCTTTCCTTTTTTTTTTGACGTTTCGGTCCTATGGACACTTTTAACATCAATTACAACTTTTATAAAAACTGAACAGCACACAAAACAGTAAGATATGAAAAAAAAAACAAGTCACTAACGAGGTTCGTGACTTGGGAAAAGCACATTAATTTGAGACAGCGTAACATCATTAAACAATCTTTCTCCGTCGATCAACGACATAAAAAAGTATATAATAGAAATACAGAAAACTTTATTTTATTCAAAGACTGGAGAAAATACAAACACCTCAAAAAAGCAAACAACACCTAGCTCAAATCTAAATTCGACACAAAGACAAACAATAGTACACAAAAACATAACTGACAACTAAAAATTAGGAAACACAAACCCCAATTACAACTGCAGGTGAACTCGTAAGCTCTGGAATGATAAATAATTTTGATGTACTAGTAAATCCTGTTGCAGTACTAAGTTCGGAACTGTGACAACCAAAGAACAAATGGCTGGATTATGTTTTCGACAATTGGAACATTACCATGGTCATTTATTACACAGATATCCCATTTGAGTCAACAAAATCATAAGGATGCACGTAACACTGTCTTTGGGATTGTTTTAAAGCAATCATTTGAACCATTGACTAGGATTGTCACATTTTCAATTGAAGGTTAGTGATTCTCTCCGGGAAGTTCCTCCACCAATAAAAACTGACTGGCATGAAATAGTACAATAGTGCTGGAAGTGGCGTTA